AACGGGTAAACGAAATTGTAAATAAAATACACCGTTCGAAAGGTAACAGAAATACGCAACTTTTATTAAAAGAAAGTATAGTGTTTCGATGAACTCAAAAAATTTTACGATACATTTTCCGAGCACATCGCTTTTTTCAAAAGAAAAAAATGTCTCCAGTTGTGAGACACTCATTAAAAATTGCTAAAATTTAATAAGTTTGACATAAAACGTTATGTTTAGTGGAAATAATTAAATATATTAATAATATATATTATTGTATACTAAATAATAATATTTATTCGTCAAAATATGACTATCAAATAAACACAATTTAATAGCTTCAACAAGATCATTAAAATTGATTTCTTCTGAATCAATTGACTTTTTTCCACTTGACATGCCCAAAAATACTAGAAAAAAAATCAAAACAACATTTAAATAGTATGCCTGCAAAGTCGTATTTTTTAGGCTGCCCAGATGGGTGTTGACACCGTCTCACAACTGGTGATATGCTGTGTCTCACACCCAGAAATTAGCGCTATTTTGAAAAAGGAAAATTAAATTATTTTCAACCGTAGATTGGAACAATGCAATATTGCATCACAAAATATAAGAAAACACTAAAAGAAAATGCATTACATTTACCTTTTCCAATTAATTAACTTGGAAAAAAAGTACTTTGCATTTATTGAAAAAACGCTTTTTAGTCGATTATCACACACGGTGTTGGTATTTAACAAAAACAGTTTATATATCCGCTTCGGCGTACACGAAATAGTTGGCTCATATAAAAAGAAATGTTTTTATATAAACCAATCGGCTGTTTAATATTGCATGTTAAAAAAAATTGACTGTCTTACAACTGGAGACTCTCCCCTATTTTTTTGGAAATCAACCTAATAACATCTTTGAAAGAGAGTTTTTTTGGAAATCAACCTAATAACATCTTTGAAAGAGAGTATTTTTCTGAACATCAGCCACACTGAAAAAAATTCTTAGTAGATTTGACTACTTTTTAACTACTTTCCTTAGTTCAATAAGTCCCCAAAGATAATTTTGAACTTACATTAATTATCAGATATGTAGTTGAATGAAGTGATAATACAGTTGCATTAACTACTTTTCTTAGTTAAATAGGAACCAATGACAGTTTTGCAGTAGAATTAACTGCTGATATGTAGTTAAAGTTACTAAGATAACTCAGTAATAAAGACAACTACTGAAAATGGTAAAATAAAATTATTTATAATTTATTATAAATATTATCGAGTTGTATTTTTTTATATTTCCCCCTACCCACTTTTGTTTACCTATACCTTATTTATTTAATGTCTATATACCTAACGGAGAAAAATCTCTAAACGTCGGGAGTTGAACGCTCGACCCTAACATTCGTAAACCGATAACCCAACCACCTAACCACGCTCGCCCGCTTCGATGAGTTGCTTAATACTTATAGGCATTCCAGACACAGTTCAACTGATAACTGTAGTTAATTTTACTACTTAAAGTAGTTGCATTTACAACTTTTCACAGTTGATAATCTTCTATAAAAATCTATAACATAAATTACATGGAAAATAATTCAACTCCTAGAAGAAGTAAAAACTACTACAAAATGAGTCTATCGAACTACTTTAAGTAGTAGAATCTACTACTTTCTGTAGTCATTTCTGTAACATACCTGCAGTTACAAAGTTAACTGTAAAATTACATTAATTTAATTAATAATTTTTAACTACATAAAACAGTTAAAATAAGTATCAAAAGTAGCCAGACTAACTAAAAAAGTAGTTCGTTTTATTACTTTTTACTCTACTAAGGGGATGTAGTTGAAAATGTCTCATGTATTTTTTTCAGTGCATAACACATCGAAGTCAACTTAAGTGCAATCCCAGTATACAGTTTAGAAGTTAACTAAACTACATCCCCAAATATATTTTGAGACCAAGTTCGGTACAACAATTAGTAAATTCACTTATTTAACTACGAGCAATAAGTGATAACCCAAGAAGAATTAAATTGTTTTCAAGTTTCAAAATCAAATATTGAAACAGTATTTCTAATTTCTAAACATCGAGATTTGCTTTGGAGGCGACAGTCTGGAAGAAGAGTAAAATCCCCAAGAATACAATACACTAAATCCCATTAGTGTAAACAACAAGGCTAATATACAACCATTAAGGACATCAACCACAGGCTCCTTTGTGTCTACTTCTCATAACCACTTCAGATCGGAAATCGAGATAACAATCACCAGTTTTTCAACACTTGCAATAATCGGTATTCCAAAAGTAAGATTTTTATACTCATTGTATTTTTGTACTATTGTCAATTCTTTTCTTTCTTGGTTGGTTTTAAATAAATATTCTCTCACAACATTTAATAGGCTCATTGACTTATCCTCATCCTAAATTAGATTCAATTTCTGAAACTAATTTAAAACGAGGAATGTTCGGTATATTTAAAAAGGTTTCAGTTTTGACGTAACATTATAATTTACACTGATGTGTTGGTTTTTTGTAATTTCTTTTCGTAGTACTTCATAAATTCTATTATGAATTTGAAATCCTATGCGAGCGTGGTATAGTGGTTAGTATATTCGATTTCGGTGCGTTATAATGTTAGATAGGTGTAGGTTCGAATCCCGAAGCATTAGAAATTTTAAGTTAATGTAAATAAAATTGCGAAAGGTATATCGAAAAATATGTTGAATGTACTATAAAGTAATGATAATTAATATGTGTAATAATAATTATTTTTTTATTAAAATTCACTAAATTTTCCGGTCTAATTTTTGACTGTTTCGGACTAATTCCGGATTCACTAGTTAAAATTAACTGATTAATTTCAGACTTCATCCGACCAACTTCGGATTTACTAGTTGTTCACAAACCGTATAGAGTTCGGATTTATTTGGATTAATTTCGGGTGACAAAAACCTGACTATAAACCGCACTGTTTCGGACAAATTTCGGATTAGTCCGAAAGTATTTATAGTTATAGTATAAAATAGAATTACTGAATTTGTATGTTTTAAAACATACATGTGCATTTTTTATTTTCTAATAAGAAAATCATTGACAAAAAATGTAATTGTATGCAATTTTCATTTTAATAACTTTTTTTCTTAACAGATTAAACCTTACTTTAATTAGGGAAATGTAAGGTATAGTGGCGTGTAAGGTATGGTGGCGGACTTGTCAAATCTGGCATGTAACGTTGCATCTGAAACGCCTTATCACTATGGTCGATGTCTTTTATCGTGATGACATTTTATATGCAGTAGTATTAATGATCAAACGCGTGCTTTGTACTGTTAGTGATTTTGAATAAAAAAGTAGTGAAAAAAAATAAAAAGTTTTATTGGATATGTGTGTTAACAGTGCCAGAGACAAGATTTTTTGAAAATTGAGTCAGGTAAATGTATGGAACGTATTGTTTAGACCTTGGACAACAATTTTTTGTATTTCACATTTTTTTCAAATCGCGCTGTATGAAAGTAACACCATCATGTTTCCATCAATAGCTTGTAAGGTATGATGGCGTAATTTTTGTAACGTACAGTGGTGAACCATTTTTTTGCACGAGTTTCAATTGTCTTTGCATGTTTTGTGTACTAATGCCTCTTGTGCTCTACCGCAAAAATTCTCGAATATGTGACACTTGCGGTCTTCTCTTATTCTAGTTGCGTTAAAACAGCCACCAACTACTTCACATGTCCAAATTGTAACCATAACTGAAGTGAAACGTTTTTTTCTATAATGTAAAATCATCAGTTTCTTCTCATTTTGTTTTTTTTCATCATTTCTAGTAGTTTTAATAAATGATTTTAACATCTACATAATGTTTTAGCTGAATACACCAAATCCGCCACAGAAATATGCTTAATAGATGTGAGAAACTGCCTGCTTTTGAAATTTTGAAAAATATTGTTTTTCGAGAGAGAGAGACGCAAAAAAAAAGGTTTCGCCACCATACTTTACACTTCCCTACAAAATATAAAATTAACTAAATATTTAGGTACACATTTAAAGCTATTTTTTCTTTAATTTAAACATATTATTTATTGAAACTAAAAAATATATCTCTGATTCAAAGAAATTTGCACATTAAAACAAAAAATTTTTTTTTAACTTAAATAAAAAATTTCTTCAATCTAAAGAAATATTTCTTTGGCTTTTAACAAAAAATTTCTTAAATTTAAAGAAATATTTCTTTGACTTAAAAAAAGATTTATTAAATCCAAAGAAATATTTCTTTGAGTCAACAAACAGCAGTTAAAGAAATAATTTCTTTAAATCAAAGAAACTTTTTTTTGACCCTATGACAATGCACAAATTTCTTTGATTCAAAGAAACTTTCTTTGAAACAAAGAAGCTTTTTTCTGGGTCAACAGCAAATCTCTTTCTTTATTAAATTTTTTACCCATCAAAAATAAACAACAAAATAAATGTATAAAAATTCATCGGTCTTGCTTGAAATTTGTTACTCAGGGTTTTTTGAAGACGCAAATTACGAAACTGGCACCATATTTCCAAAATTCAAAATGGTGAATCGAATATGTCGGACATTAAAACTAAAAAATTATTGATTTTCTATGAAACTTGGTATATGAGGGTTTGCGGGTCTCTGATTACAAATCTGGAATTAGATTTTCAATATTCAAAATATCTGATCCAAGAGTCAAATTGGTTTTGAATTCTGAAAATCTGATGCCAGATTCGTAATCAGCGACCCTAGAAACCTCCGAGTAACAAGTATCAAGCAAATTTGATAAATTTGCAAATTGTTTCAAGCAAATACATTTCGCTATTCGCTATTGTAAATCAACATTTAAAATTTTAAAGATCTGATGCCGTATTAGTAATCATCAACCTTAAAAACTCCTGGGTAAAGATTTTCAATTCATGTTAACTTACTAGGTCACTTATATACATATATTTACTACAAGAATCTTCAGTTTTTAAAAAATCGAGTTTTTTAAAAAAATAAGTCAGGAATGAAATTCAAGGAAATTTAAAGTTTTCAATTGTTTTTAATGTTTACTGGATTAGTTGGTTTCTTATGGATCCTGACATAAGCCACATATAAATTCATACTTAGAAAACAATTAGAAATTAAAATGACATTGAATTAGTAAGTTAAAAAAAATGTTAATCACACAACTTTTTCAACTATTCCAATTTCCTCATATAATTCTGTTTTACTACCAGGATAATTTTCTCGGATACAATCTAATATTTCTGTGACAATTCGCTTTCTCTTAGAATATTCACGTTTACGAACACCTAAAGCATTTTCTATTTTTCTTTTTGATTCAGTCAAGTCTTCTGATCCGGAAACTTCCATGAGTTCACTTAATTTTCGAGATAAATGATCCACTTTATTATTTCTCTCCAATTTCTGCTTTTGAGCCTCTTCAAGAGTGATACTGGATTTCAAACCGGCAAGGCTGGCCTCCATTGTTCGAACTTCTTTTTCAAGTAACTGCTGCTTACTTTCAACTTCGCCAGCGTGAGACTGAAGTTCTCTATCGATGCGCAACAATTCATCCGTATTTCGATTTGATTCTTGAGCAGTACAATAAACTTTCTGCTTTCCATATACTTTTTCAACTAATTTGCCTTCATGAACCAACTGATCAAAGGCCTTTTGGACAACAGATTTGCCTAATTCATTGCGGAGGTTTAAAACAACATCGTTTGTACTGAATGGCCTATTTTGAGTTTTCATAAACTTCAATACTATTTCCTTTGACATTTTTGCACATCAGTGATTACAATCTGTAAAATGATAATTATATAATATGTAGAAAATGAATTTAAAAATTACAAGTTTATATAGAGATTACAAATAAAAATCTATTTTCGCAACTTTTTTTTAACAAATAGTTTAATAAGTTGTAAATTAATAATACCAAAAGTGAGTAACCCTGGATTCTCTTAATTTCACTTAAAATATGTTTTCATCATAGAAACAGTTGGTGTATAATACAGTTTATGTAGGGGAGACTGGGGCTAAACCGGACGGATTTGGTCTTTGACCAGAAAACTCATAGAAAAAAATATTTTTTGCTAATGAGTAATATACCGTTTTGAAACTTGTCCCTTCACCTACAAATCGCACTTGTTCGTTTTTAAAAAACTACAATGGCTTTGGAAATATATTGCTTTGAAGGTGCACGGAGAAAAATTGAGTTTGAAAAACTGGCGAGTCAATATTGAAAAAACAGGACTCAGTCCAGTAAAAGTACATTAATTCATTTCCATCAAGCATCTTAGGGTATTGCGTATAGTGTATAAAGGGCCTTAGTTTCAAATGTCACTGTAAAGAGCATTGAAACACAGGCGAAGATTATAAGGCGCGCTGCAGTGTGCATATAGTAGAGAAACTGGACTCAGTCCCCTACTTCGAAATTTTCACAATGAGGGAACGCAGGCGCGGAACCTGTCAAAATAAATGGCCGACGCGACGCGATACGAGTGTTTCCTTGTATTCACTTCGTCAATTTTATATAAAAAAAACAATAACCAATCATTAAAAAAAAGAAAAATATGTTAAATGCACTCTTTATATATTCATATTCATTAATTCACAAGTTTTATTCTTCCCACATCTTCATACTTACAATTAACAACTAAATGCATCGGAAAATCTTACAATCATACGGGATTGAACACCTACCTAACCATACAACTAAATATACGCATATAATTATAAATCGCACGCTTTTACATTAAGCCTCTCGGCTACGCAATCGATGGGGGAAATTTCCTATTTAAGAAACATCCCTTACCAATGAAATAAATTAGATGATGCGTGGATTTTACTTTGTAATTAATGTAAGTATGGATGTCAACAATATTCATAATATTGAATAAATAATATTGTCAACTAGTTTAAATTTGATACGCGGTTATTAGAATTTAATAATAAATAAATAAAAAACATTAATTTTTTCCTAACCTTTTTCAAGTTTGACACTCCTCATGGTAAATTTGATTATTCTTTTTTTCCGTGTACAAAATAGTAAATTGACGTTGAATGAAATGTATAATTAATTATTCTCACAGCAATATTTAATAATTTAATGAACTTAACTGCACTGCATAATAGTTGAGAGTAGTAAGAGTAAGTGAACGACCATTAGTGTGAGAGAGAGAATAACTTGTGGTTTTCGAGTAGGTATCTACTTTATGTGCACGGCGTTCATTCTTCGAAAGAACTGGACTGAGTACTAGTTGTTCAATATTCGCTTCTATTATTGACTTGTGTTTTGTACACTGCCGCGTTCTTTCAACAATTACATGAGAAAGTAATTTCTCATTCCAATTTTTTATACTCTTATTCCCTCTTAGACTATATAAACAGTCTTGTTTAAGCTGATGAATGGGATAACTTGTGTTGAGTCCCAAACTGTTCAGCTATGAAACTTCTAATACTTATAGTGTGTACCTGTCACATATTATTCTGTAAAGGAGTACTACACTGACTGCTTAAATCATTTTTCAATTTTTCTCCGTGTGACTACCTCAAAAACGAAAATCTGAAAATTGGTGGGGCTGAATAGGACACCCCATGGGGCTAAATCGGACACGGCTAATTAATTAAAGAGCGAGACACAAATTTTCGTTTTTTTGTAGAAAAGTCAAATCAATTCTTTGTTTACTTATTTGTAGGTAGTTATATGCAAAGAATATAATATAAAATGTAAAATATGTAAATAATATAATATAAAATGAATTATAGTTTTCAGACTTGTTTGTTTTCAGCATCTCGCTTGCTAATTCGTGTTTTAAAATAAATTCTTTATTTATTTATTGATAAAGTGGTTCTATGCAAAGAATATAATATAAAATAGGTTATTAATATGAAATAAATTATAGTATTCGCAAATTTGATTGTTTTTTATCACGACGTCCGATTTAGCCCCACACCGTTATCTAATAATTAACCTGCAATAAATTTTTTCTTCTTAACGTTTTCCATTAAATTTTTTTTCTACTAAACTCAGTACACCTTCAGCTAATATAAAATTGCCATATTACCCAGTAAAAAAATTCGATGCACGGACCGCGGAGTTCGTATACGAGCTCGGTAGCTCGTATGAGAAATATGAGAAATCTCTCATACGAGCCTTTTCCGTAATGAGAAGTGTATACCCAGTAAGAAGCGAGGAATTGAAAAGGATTGAAATAATTCAAACTCTGTATGGTGTAGTAGAAATTATCCAATACTTTTGAATGCCATTTCTGTCCAATACTTTTCTATACCATGATAGGACCACGTTTCGTCTAAAAATGAATGCAATTCAATTCTGTTTGTAATTGTTAACAAAGACAAAAATTTTTTCTGAATGCTTTCCAATCCCATCCGAAATTATTACAGCCTGTCATTACATCACTTTTCAAGTTTTCATTGGAACCGCGTTTCTGCATGCATTCAAGCAATCTTCTGGATTTTTGTAATTTATAAGATACATACATTGGCAGATTTTGTAAAAAGTGTTTGTGTTCAAAGAAAAACTTGCTGAAAAATTGATTGTTTACCAATTTTACGTCATTTTAACGAGTCAGGGCCGTTATTCTATTAGACAATAAATCATAACCTAAAAATTTCAGAGACCTTTAAACACTTTTAACCCTCTTAACTGATAATAATTTAATAATTATTCCTTTTTAAAATAGCAAATAAAGTCATGAGTGCAGTTATTTGAAAGTAATTGAACATTCTATGCAATGTCAACAATATTAGTATTGAGTCAAATTTTCTGAACTGGGCCACCAAAAACAATCTTTTTAAATTTACATTATATCTATACATAATTTTTTACAGCCGGGTGATACAAAAACATTCCCGGAATGCGTTTTAAAAAATTTTCATTTTTCAATTAGTTATAAACAATTAAACTTTAAAGTACCTTTTTAGAAAATTTAATATTTCTTCGTTGTTTTTTGATAAAATTTAAAAATATTTGGCAGAAATGTACAAAAATACTGCCTCTATTAATAACAATAAAATTTAAAAAAATTCATAATTATTTATGCAAAATTAATTGTTAATTAATTAAACAATTAAAGTTTTAAGTGACTTCTGGACTAGTTACGAAAACAATTTAAAAACTACTGAAATCTATTTTTTCTATACTTTAATTTCCAAAAACAAAATCTTAGTACCTTTAATAATTGAGCAAATGACATAATTTTAAAGAGGGGCGTGCAAGCGCTCGGACCTCGGCTCGGACTGCCGCGGCCGCTGCGCTAGGACGCGTTGAGACACGATTGTTCTTGAAAAAACGTTTATTTAATATGCTTGTCTTATAAATTGATTTTTATTAATTTTTCCTTATTTCTTTTGCAATAATAATTAATTAATGTTCGTATTGTTTGAAAATATATTCATTATTTTTTTGTACAAACCAAATTGATATACTATCTTCTGTAAAGTTAGTGAAAATAATGCACGTATTCACTAAATTAAGTAATGAGTTATAATATTGATTCGTTTAAAAAATTTTTTCAATTGGATAATTATAAATTGAAATATAAAATAAACAAATAGAATAGAAAATGTTTACTGTAAATGTGAGTAAATTTATTTCACTTTAATGCAAAAAATGTTCCCCAGTTCTGATTGCTCTTGTAGTGTATTATTCTAATGTGTTTTACGTCAAAGTGTGTAATTGTAAAACACTTTTAAAGTGCATAAAATATAAAGTGCATAAATTTTATATATTTTAATGTGAAAACGGATTAGATCGATACACCTAAAAGTACATTAGGAACCGGGAAATATTTTAGCCACAAAAGTCAATTTAATTTTTTTACTTTGTCTTGCAATGTATATAACAAATTTTTAAAAATGTCACCCCCTAAAGTATGTTGCAACCCTTTTAATATCAAAGGCCAAAATTCTTGTTATAAGAATTTAGTTCTTATAACAGAAAAGTGTAATGAAAAATTAAGTGTTTTTTATAACAAATACGTGTGTGTCAAGTGCAAAACGAAACTTTATAAAAAGAAAAGTGATGTGAAGTCCCAAAACATGAATTCACTTAGTAAGCGGAAAATTGAGGAATCAATAAAAAATGTGCCTGAAAACGATGACTATTCATCAGAAGAAATGGAATCTGAAATCCATGATGAGGATTATGTGTCTGTGAGAGTTGATAAGAATTCGAAAAAAGTTAAACTCGTAAAAAGTATTGAGAATGTGATTCTTTCATCAACAAAATCTCAAATAAGTAACAAAGATTTACAACAATCGCTTCTTGAAGTAATTCAACCAAATCTCAATGATTCTCTATTATGTTCCTCTATCGAGATTAATAATTTTTGGATTACTGATTTAAAAACTGCATTGAACAAAGCGTCAACTAAAAGAGAAAAAACTTTTCTTTTAACAACACTTCCAGTGCAATGGAGTATTAGAAAAACAGCGAGAGAATTTGGTGTATCTAGACGAATGGTATCTACTGCTTTTAATATTCGAAAAAATAATGGTTTCGCAACCGAACCGGATAAGAAGAACGGCCAATCTATGAGTGAACAGCTTAAAAACAAAATTAAAAACTTCTTTCTATCTGATGATGTTAGCAGGATGATGCCTGGTGCGAAAGACTACAAGTCTATTGTAGTTAACGGGAAACGTGAGCATGAATCTGTAAGTTTTTGATAATTTTTAGTCAAGACATTTTTTTACTATTAATATTAGACATAAAATAAACATTAATTGCTTATTCCAAATGCTTAAAAATATTTTAATGAAGCTTTTTAAAAGGGAT